TCCTGGGTTCCTGAGGGTCATCCTGGGGGATTTTCTCCTCTTTCCCTGGCCCTAGGAGACTTCCCTCCCTTTCCTTGCCTCCTTCCTCACTGTCCTCCTCTCTTGTCACCTTTCTGAAGTGTCAGACTCAGGTTCTTTTCTATGAAATTGAAAAGGCAAAGCCATCTTGTACAGAGGGCCTTTTGGCATATCAATAATAACAACAACAATAGTAATAATAACAATAACATCTTACATTTCAGGTTTTTAGTTTACACTTTACAAAGAGCTTTTAAATACATTATCTCACTAACCATTTTGGGGTCGCTTGGTTGAGACAAGAGGGACACTTCCTTCCCCTTTCCCTGAACCCTGCTCAGGGGGGGAACACGGCCTGAGCCCCTCCTTCTGCACACGTGCACATCCTCACGCACAGGTGTTGAACCATTATGTGTGCAGGTTAACCAGCTGAACTCTTTCTGTCCCATGGGACTTTCTGTTTCTAGAATTTGGCTTCTCAAGAGAGTTTTCATCTCCATTTGTTAGAGAAACTTCATTTTGGGGAGGATTTTCTTAATGGTTCTGAGTTTGGCATTTCATAAATTCAGGGCTACCAAAATTGAGGGGAAGGCTGAAAATCACCGCCAAGCCACACTGAGAGAAAGAACCCTGTCCTTTGGCTGTCTTGGCTGACTGTGGCTGGATTCGGGGTTGGGTCCAGGGGTGACTGGCAGAGAAAGGCCTCAGATTCTTTGGGGAGGCAGAGGGAAAGCTGTCAGCTTGGTGAGTCCTCCCAGAAAGTCAGGGACCTTGGGTGGGGCTCTCAAGATGGTAGGCTGAGTGGGCTTTGTGCTGGGTGGGGAGAGCTAGCTAGGAGTGCTGGTGGTAGAATAAGGCTCAGGACCACCTGCCTGCATGAGGAGGACTGGTAGGGCCTGGGCGATGGGAGGGGTATTGGGCAGATCCCAGGACACCCCTTCCAGGGGTGAGCTTCTGAGCTACCACAAATACTTTGTGACCCATCTGGAAATCAGCATGGTCTAGCCTCAACACACTGAAGTCAGCAACCAGGGAAGCCCCAAGGCCATTCTGGGTGGCAAAGCCCTATCTGTTCTTCCAGGCCTTTCCCTACTTTGCCA